ATGAGTAAGATGCCATAACAGAAGGTATCATTTTCTATTCGAGTCCGCGTTTGGATTTCGTTGTCACATTTCTTCTCCTATGTTAAAACAATTCTCAAATATATATATATATATATATATATATATATATATATATAAATATATAAACTGTATTGTTTGGGCATCTCCAAATAACTACTATAGCAAAAAAAAAGCAGTCAACAAAAACGAATATTTTGCAAACAAATTTATTTACTATGTGCTTGACTTATGCTAAATTTTACAAAGAACGGAAGATCTGACACGAATACGTAGAAATATTTGTTGTTATGTATGTTTGCTTGGAAAAGTAATAATTCTTTCAGAAAGGTAAGATTGAAAAAAAACGAGATATATATTTATATATTGATAATATTCGATGGCGGCACTCTCAAGGATTTTCCTTCTGAGTAAATTATTTTTCCTTTTGCTGAGTGCATTATTTAGATCAAACCTGTAGCCGAATTTGTTTTTCTGTGTATGACTAGTGCATTTGTTAAATTGTTATTTATGAAGCCCCTTTTGTGTTCATAAATACATGTTTTAAATTTATCCATGTTTCACCAATGTAATGTGAGGAACAGTTTTAGACAATTTATTTTATATATGACTGCTTCGGAATTATTATTGTTATGGGTGTTTTTAGTTGTTAACGGATTTGGAAGTGATTGTGTCTATTTGGATGTTGTTTAGATAGGATAAGATGTTCGTGATAGTGGATATTATGGAGTCGGTAGGTAGTGTAATATCTTTTTTTGCTTAGTTTATTATTGTGGATAATGTTGTTATTTTTGTTGCGGTTGTGTATATTTTGTGTATTTCTCTGTGCATAGTAGATGAAGTGATAGGAATATTGTTTGGGTAGTATTAGGAGCTTCAAACTCTTAATACTCTTAAGTAGAAACCTATAATTATAAAAGATCTATCAAAGATAACAACATCAATTTCACTGTAGCTGCACATTTCAACCAACCGGGGCATAGCATTGATGATGTTGGATGTGTCCTTTTAGCGTCGTCATTTAAATGCCTACAAGAACGCCGAAAATCAGAGTTAAAATAAATATTTAAAATAAATTCACACGTTTTATGTTTAAATAGAAATTTTGGCATACTTAGTAAATACAGATTGCATATAAAAACCTTCTCCAAAATTAATCGTTGCAAAGAACCAGATAAAAACTACAAGATCTCTTCAGTAATATAGCACCTGCCGAAAAAAATTCATTTTTAATTTCTCGTCTCGTTTAAAAAGGCGACAGACTTTTCGGAAAATACCGATTTTTAACACCTTTCCCATCATGTTTCCATTTTTGTCATAATGCCTACAAATATATTGGGCTGGTGCATAATTATCAGGCGTTTTTGCAAACGAATTATTTGTTAATAAAAATTGTTGTTTTGTTTACGTTTTTTAATAAAAAAAATGTTATTTTCACGTTATAAAAACGCGTGTTGATAATCATATACTCTGGAATAATCATTTAAAAATGTAAATGTTGAATTGTTATGTATCTTTTTATCATAATAAATATTTAGAAAAACGCCTGATAATTACGCACCAACAAAATACAGTAAATATTACTAGTCTTACTATCAATATTATTATTTTGGTTGTTTTTTTGTATCACTGATTTTTTTTTTTTCATTGGTCTATTATAACTATATATATATATATATATATATATATATATATATATATATATATATATATACGGGTGAACAGAAAAGTTGGACAAATCGTGTAACAGCAAGTACGTTTAGCCACCTTGACACCATTTGTCGTAAGAATCACTGAGAAGCACTTTGAGTTATTCAGTTTGAAAGAAAACAGGTTTTGGTTTGTGTCAGCTCCACTATGTCTTCCCAATTGAGCAATGGTGAGAGGAAAAGGATTATTCAGATCTTCAGTAATGGTGCCAACATTCATACTCTGGCTCCCATCTTTAAAGTCCATTCAAGAACCATCAAGAGAACGGTGAAAAAGTTTACAAAAAGAGGGAACAGAAGAGAGGAAAACTGGATCGGACGGTCACAACAGAAAGAGGGATCATGATTTCAACTTAGAGCTAAATACATTCTTATTGTTCAAAGTAGAGTCCAATAGTCTTATAGAAAACTCGGATAATTCCAGTAGGGTATCTTTAATCATTTCTAAGATACAAAATTCAAGGCTTAATCTAACAATTGAACAATTTTGTTGTTACACTTTTGGTATATATATATATATATATATATATATATATATATATATATATATAGAGAGAGAGAGAGAGAGAGAGAGAGAGTTTAAAGAAAAAAAAGACCACTTTAAGGCTTCATTTGTTATAATTTATTTCACCAGAGAATTTTATTTTTCTCTAGATCTTCAGACTTCACTTTCAAAGCGGAAACGAAAGATGAATTTAAAATTTACACTTTTGACGGGCAGTATTAAGCTTATATATGTTGACATAGAAGGTGGTGAGGAATAGTGTGTGAGACATGGTCAAGTTTAGAGAAGGAAGGGGGAGCTTTAAAATTTATTTTTATTTTTTTATTTTTATTACAATACTTAATATTGAGGAAGCAGGGGATAAGGATCAGACATTCAC